CATGTGTGTACACCTGGCAGGTGTACATGTGTGTAAACTCTTGCCTCCACCCCTCCCTCCACCCTCTGTCCTCACAGTCTGAGCCCCAAGATCCCCAAGCAGAGGGATGGGGTCAGCTACCATCTTCTCCTGAGCCCCTAGGTAGCTCCGTCCCTTCTAGCCATGGTCCCCCTCATCCATGCCTTGTCCCCACCAGGACCCCCAGGCCCAGTGCCCCATCTGTGCCGTCTCACTTCTCTTCCCTAATGCCCAGTGGGGGAGCCCTGGGGCAGGACCCCCAAGAGCAGACTAGAGGAAAGAGGGTGGTCCTGTCCCACTGGGGAGCTGCTTCCCGAGATGGGGAGGGAGGGTCATTTCACCTGCTCTGGGGCCCATGGCTGTGCGGCGTGCAATGGTTTTTCTGGCAGGAAGGCACCAGGGTCACAGGCAGCCAGTCCAGGACAAGCTGGAGAGGAGACAGGAGGTAGTGAGGCCAGGGCAGGGCACAGAGGGTAGGTCACCATCCAGGGTCACACAGGATAGGCACTGTGAAGGGCCTCGAACTTCGGGCTGCAACCATGTCTCTCTGTCTTGCGGGAGGGTACAACCCACAAACAATTTATCTTTGGAATAAAAGGGAGTGGCAGATGGGGAGCCAAGCCCAACCCTGGGGCCTCTGTCATTGTGGGTCAGGACTCAGGGGACCCACAGGCTGGGCTGCCGTGTCTCCAATGAACCGATATCTTAACAGCTCTAGGGGTTGGGTGGGTGGTAGTCCCAGTGAGTCCCTATAGCATCAGGGGTGAGAGGCCTGGTGGCCCCCAACCTACTTTGGTGCAGCCTTGGCTTCAGACCCACATCTGGTGGCCTAGGCAGCCCCCTTTCCCTCTCAGGGCCTCAGGTGCCCAGTGAGACCTGACCCCGGACACCACTCACGCTGCAGCCCGCTGGCTGCCCTGACCAAAGTGGAAATGACAGTTGTGAGGCCTGGGGAAGGTGGGTGGGCCGGGGAGCCCAGGCCACGTTGCTGGCTCCTGGGCCACAGCCTTGCACGGGCTGTCGACTTGGGACACCCGTGGGCCTCTGGACTCTGCATGGCCCAGGAGGAACACAGAGAGGTGTTACTGCCCCACAAGACAGAGGCTCAGAGGGACTCAGCTACCTGCCCAGGGCCGCACAGAGGCCAGACTTCCAGCTGAAGCCCTGTGCGTCCAGCTGGTGGTGATTCCTGCTTGCCCCTGCCTCTCACCTGGGCATGAAGAATTCCGTCTGTCCTAGAGGGAGGCTGCTCCAGGGCCAGGTGGCAGCTGTCAGAAGCAGCGATGTTGCAGACTAGGTGCTCCAGACACCAGCAGTCCCAGTCCACCCAGTGAGTCAGCCCCTGCAACTGAGCCTTGGGGTACAGGGATGGTGCAGGGTAGTGGCACCAGGGTCCCTGCTCACTTCCATGCCTCACTCAGCACCCTGCCCGGCTGGCCACCCACTTCTGCAGCGATGCCCGCCAGGCAGATGTGTAGGGGAGGAGCCAGGGCTATGCCAGGTGACGCTGCCATGTCTGCCCCTCGGGGCCCCAGGCACAGCAGGCACTTGCTCCGCAGCCCCGCGAGAGTGAGAGGTTGAGCTCACGGTTGGCAGCTGCCCAGCGCACACCCCTTGCCACTGGTGGGGCCCCAGCCCAGCAGTATCCTTGCCTCGAGGTTCACGTGTGTGTTTGTACATGAGCACACCTGCACTTGATGTGTGTGCTAGCATCCGTGTGAGTACATGTGCACGTCCATGTGCACCCAGGAGCACACACATCTGCATGCGTATGTGGTGCACGTATGTCCCCTGCAGGGATGTCAGGCATGCGTGGACCCTCTGTGCTGCCTGGGTTGAGTGACAAGTGTGTGTTTCCGTTCTGTTGGTGCTGTCACAGAGCTGGCCACGTGTGTACATCTCGGTGGGGAGAGCGTGCAGGCAACCTTGATGGTGCACGGCCATGCCGGCCACACACGCCCTGGTGTGCAGCCTGCTAGGGCCCAGGATAGGGCTGGCTCCATTGGGCAGGTCTTGAAGGTAGAGCAGGAGGTGGGGATGCAGGACGGCTGAGGATGAAGGTGCCCACAGATGTTTCCCTGCCAGCTGAGGTGGATGGGGAGCCAGGTGCCCCAGGCTGGCCTTCGACCTCAGCTTTCACCACATCTGCCCCTGCTTAGTGGGGCCAGGAGGCTCTGGAACCTTGAGCCCCTACAGCACGGTTCCATCTGGCAGGGCGAGTGGCAGTGAGGCCTGTGACCCCCAGAGTCCCAGGGTCCCAGGGGGCAGGGTTGGGGCCAGGTCCACCAGCAGGGGCAAGCTCACCCTGGGCCCCAGCAATGAACCCCTGAGGTGGGCCATCAGCTCCACCCAAGCCCTGAGCACTCGAATGGGAGCAGGTTTTGGCTAAGGGCCTGCTGGGGCTCTGGATGCTAAGGGGTCTGTGGGGAGGGGGTGTCACTTAGTGGTGGGGTCTCTACCCACCCCAGGGCCCAGGCCGGGGTGGAGGAGGCTCCTCATAGGCTAGTGAGTGCAGGAGGCCAGATACTGGCTGTCCCATTTGGACTTGGCCCCCAGGGCAGGCTCAGGCCATGCAAACCACCACAGCAACAGACCGATTGCTGAGCTGTACAGAGCCACACCCCGCCCCCAGTTCTCCTGAGTATTCTCATGGAATCTGGCCCCACCAGCAGCACTGTGCAATGCCAGCTTTGCAGATGAGGAGACTGAGGCCCACAGAGCTGAGCAGCTTTCCCCTGGCCATACAAGGTGAGCAACAGTGGGACAGTCCTGTAGCTGGACTGTCCTGTCAACACCGAGTTCCCTGGGGTGTGACATCTGTGGCTGCCCCACAGTCAGCTGTTGGGGCAGATGCGCTGGGTGGACCCTGGGAGGGGCAGGCAGCCTACCTGTAGGGAGCAAGGTTGGGATCTGGCCCTGGGGGCTCTCAGAGGGGCTTTTCAGTGGGAGGAGCCAGGCTGTGGGACAACATATGTGGAACATCCCCCAGGCAGTCCCGACCCACAGGCCGCCTGTCTGCCCTTCTATCGCACTTTCTCTCCCTCTGCAGCTGCCCGCCTGTCCAGCCCGCCCATCTTCTGTTTTGCTGCTTGCTCTGCAGGCTCAGCCCATGGGCCCTGAACCAGGTCAGTGTTCTGCAGCTGGTCGTACCTGTCCTCTGGTCTCCCCCAGATCCCTCCCCAGCCTACAGTTCCCACTTGGCAGACTGGCAGTCAGAGTTGACCGAAGTCCCCAGCTCCTGGCTGACCTCCTAGTGCCTCCCCAGACCACTTGGCACTAAGTAGAAGCTGGAGCTCCCGCCCTCAATGGGGTGGGATAGGGTGGAGGCTAAATCCTGGCCCTACTGGGACTCCTGGCTCCAAAAGGGTGGGGACGGGAGTAGCAGGCTGTCTTCAGCCCCTTGGCCTCCCCAGCAGCTTCTTGGGACCTGAGGGTAGGTGAACAGTGGTGATGCTGTCTAGCTGAAGGAAAATTATTTTTTCTGTCTGACAAGAGAAATGTCCTCTTGACTTCAGGACCTATGCCCCAGGGAGATATAAAGGGACCCCTGGACTCCCCTCATGTGGCTAGCTGCTGGGGGACAGGGAAGGAGACCTGGACACTCTGGGATGTTTTGGGGTAGCCCTGCCTGAACTGGGCAGGGAGAGACCCCTGGGGGCATACGTGGAAGGAAGGGCTGTCAGGGTGGTCCTGGCTTGGCCACAACCCTGTGGGCCCAGATCCTCTGGGAGGTGCCAGCAGTTGGGAAACGACTGGGTATGTCCAGGGAAATGGAACGCAGAGCTTCCAAAGGTCACTGCAGGCTCAGGCGGATGGGGCTGAGACCTGGAACAGCAGTGACCCCATGTGGCAGCAGCAGGCATGACAGCCTCTGAGCACCGCCCAGGAGGTGTTGAGGGTAAGGGCGTGAGGAGGGGGTGTAGGGGGTGTGGGGAGAAGCAGGAAGCCTACACAAGGGCTCCTGGCCTTCCGTCCTTTGGGGAACCTTCCTTCATTCTCTACTCAGACACTCACTGAGCAGTGTGTGTGGGCCAGGACCGTGCTCCAGGTGAGGGGCTCAGTACAGAGTGAGCAAGGCCAACACAGTCCTCAACTTGTAGGGTGGATGAGAAATGGGGAGCAGACAGTGGAGAAGTTCCGGGAAGGGAATGAAGTGAGGTAAGTTGATGACAGAAGCGGGGAGAGTGGTGGATGGTGGGGAAGGGGAGATGAGGGCAGAGTGTGGAGGATGAGGGCAGTAGGAGGGAGGTTGGGGAGGTGGGGCAGTTCTCAGTGAGGAAATGAGGGGCTGAGAGGGCTGCAACGGGGATACAATCCCATTGCACCCTAGTCCAGTGAGAAAGGTCATGCTAGGCACATCACTGTAACCATCTGTCTGGGGTGCTACTCCATGGGCCCCTGTGGTACTCCAGTTACAGAAGAGGAAACGGAGGTGCAGGGGGCAGTGGCTGGCACCTGCATTTCTGCAGAGGCCCCACTGGTGGGTGGGTGGCTGCCTCTGGCTCCATCCTGGCTGAGATCCCACTGTGATTACAAGTGGGGCCAGCCCAGGAGCGCCACAACAGGGCTTGCCTGCCTTGGATAGCTGAGAGGAGGGGCCTGGCCCAGCTGGGTGAAGGGACAGATGTGTGACCACAAACTGGCTGGAGGCCCAGGCACCAGCCCTCTCATGGCATTCTGAGATTTTGGAGTGCCCCAGGGTAAGCACTCAGCGAGGAACCCTGGTAAGACCAGATGGTTGCTGTTTTTGTTGAGTATCTGGGGGTCCTCCAGGGATATGACTGGCCCAACTTGTGCCAATTCAGAGTGCAGCCCCACACCAGAGTGGCACGGTGTTCACCACATGAGGGGGTGGGTGGCAGATTAGGATCACAAGGTTTGTCTTGGTTTCTGCTGAAGGCCTTGAGCAAAGGTCTGCCCAGTGCAGGGATGGGGGTGGGGGTCTGGGCCCCCCCGGAACCCCACATCAGGCACATTCATGGTTACTTGCAAAGTCAGTCACTGACCATTTATTCTGAGTCCTAAGAGCCCAGCTGTGCCTGGGGCAGTGTGGGCATGTTGTGGGGGATAGGGGAAGCTCTGGGGTGACTGCCCTCATTCCCAGGCTGAGGTCTGATGACCCGTGGCTAACTGGGAACTGCCAAGCAGGTGGTGAAGTCAGCATCTGTGACCTGGCGCCCAGAAGACCCCACAGGGGCAGCGTTCACATTGGGTCTGGAGGAATGGCAAGCGAGGTGGAAGCTGGGGGTGTGGCTCACGCCCACTTCCATGGGAGATGCTCCGGATGTGGGCGGACGGAGCAGTTTGGCAAAAGTGAAGGCACAAGGTAGGACCTGTCTAGCAGGGAGGGTCACGGTCTGCAGGTGGAGAACCCAGCCAGGCTGGGGTGACGGGCACAGAGGGTCCAAGCAGAGCAATGTGGAGTGGGGCACTGCAGGCCCAGGAGGAGCCCACCTTGAGGCTGGCACAGGTCCTGGCTCTTCCTCTTCCAGGGTGATCCAGAGCCAGTCTACAAGTCAGCCCCTGGGGGTGAGGCTTTGGAGCCAGGGAGGCGCTCTGGGGCAACAGCCACGATTTCCCCAGAGGGGCTAAGAGGGAGGCCGTGTGGGTCCCACAGCTCAAGGGCTCCATCCTCTGGAATCACAGCTGCCTGGCTCCTCTGCTGGCCCTGCCAGCCCCTCTTCAGGCCTGGCCGCTGCAGGGACTGGTCCAGGGCTCTGACCCACAGCCCCTGCCCCTTGGGGTCCCAGTATGCCATCCCCACCCCAGGACAGTGTTCTCAGTTGTCTGGCTCCAGAGTCCACTCCGACAGCCACTGCAGGCATGAGGCCCGCTGTGCCTCTGTCTCAGGGGGCTTGGCAGGAGGTGGTGGGGGCCGGCCTGGCCCTGGCAGGGGTGTGGAGGGGCTGCAGGGCCCAAGGCCCCCATCTATGGGGTCAGGGTCTGGGGCCGCCCGCAGGACCTGGACGAGCTCACCCAGTGGCTGCACCAAGGTGTGGGGGCTCCAGCAGGCATCAAGGGCAGGCACAAAGGGGTCAGGTGTGCAGGCCTCCACGCACTCGGTGTCTGTGGGGATGCGCAGGTAGAAGGCGTGGAGCATCATGCGGAAAGGCTGGTCCTCCTGGCCCGAGGCCTGGCCGTAGGTTAGGTCCCCTACGATGGGGTGGCCAAGGGCACTGCAGTGCACGCGCAGCTGGTGCGTCCGGCCTTTGGGGAAGAGAGGGGGTCGGTCAGGTGGGGGTGCCACTCCATGCCCACCCCCTACCCGCTCACGTCATGCCCAGCACTGTCCTTGACTGTGGCCTTGGAGCCTCAAGCAACTCCAGGGGACAGCAGACCTCTCTGTTTCATGCCATAGATAAAGATGTCAGAGCTCAAGACGGAAGCAACTTCTGGGGTTTCCCCTGGTGAAGGCAGGGCTGGAGCAGTGCCTGGTTCACTGGAGAACATAGACCAGCAAAACCCCATGTGGGGCAAGAGGCTGCAGGCTGTGGAGCTGAGCGTGGGGGAGGAATCAGTTTGGCTAGTGATGCTAAGGGAGCCTGGGGAGGTTCCTTTCCTTCTTGATGGAGATGCCTGAGGCAGGACACCATCAGAAGCAGGACAACATAAGAGGCAGCAAAGAGACCCCAGCAGCTGCTGGGCCCCCACCGCAGGACATACCTGTGAGGGGCTGCAGCAGCACTTTAGAGACAGGCTTTCCTGCATACAGCCCATGTTCCAGGACCACCAGCTCCGTGAGGCTTGGTTTTGGGTTCTCACAGCCTGAGGGGAGTGAGGCAAGCTCAGAGTTGGCTGGACCATCTCTGGGACCGAGTGCACCCCAGCCTAGGTCACCTGCCCAGGTTGCCCCAGCCCACCCAGGGTCCTCACTGGACAACATGTACCCCTGGCCCCCACCCCCTGCTTTTCGTACCCTCTGTGCCCTCAATGCACATGGTGTGGGTCCGGCCTTCTGTGCTGCTCTTGCCGATGGAATAGCTGACGGTCATCCGGCTTTCTTGGACATGCCCCCGCACCTGCCAAGCGGGGTCACATGCTGCTTGCCAGGCTACCTGCCACTTCTGGGGCACCCACCCAACACCCAGAGCCTGCCAAAGCGGACTGAGAGTTGGAGACCCCTGCCCCAGAGACCAGCCACGCCTTACTAGAGCCAGGTAAGCCTTGGTGACACGTCGGTCCTTGAAGCACCTGTAAGCGCTGCCTGCGGCTGCCTTGTTCAGAGCCACACAGAGCGCCCCACTGGTGGAGAAGTCCAGCTGGTGGCAGAACCTGGTATGGGGCAGAGGATCAGCGGTGGCTGGGCTGGGGGTGACTGCTTCCCCCGATGGAGGGTGCTGTGGGAACCTGTACCCAATTCCCGCACACCTGAACCCATAGCAGGTGTCAGGGTCTGCCAGCTCTGGGAAGCGGTATCTCAGCTGCTTCTGGAGGGTCAGCGTCTCCTGCCAGGCCTTGCTGTCGATGCGCACGTCCCAGTGCTTGTTCACCACCAGGAAGTCATGGCTACGGTACACAACACACAGGTTCTCCATGCTGCCTGGCTCCATGGTGGCACCTGCAATATGAGGCAAGTGCGTGGGGTGGGTGGGGTGTGTGTCATGGGGTGTTCAGCCCCACACCATGGCCCTGCCCACCTAGTGTGGACACTCCTGCTCCCCTGGGCCCCCGCTCTGAAGCTACCAACCCTATGCAGCAGACAAGCTTGCAGACCTACTGTGTGCTTGCATCCTCATCTCTGAGTCAAGTAGCAAGTTATCTACCTGCTGGGGTGAGGGATCCAGCTAAGGTCAGAGAAGCTAGTGTTGCTCTGGGCTCTGGCTATGGGGCAGTCCTGCCCAGATCCAGGCCTGGGGAGAAGCAGCCTTCCCCTCCAGCCCGCCCCCACGGTCCCTTCCCGGACAGGCCATGGACGCACGATAAGAGTTTTTCTGAGTGGGGTCGGGTGAAAGGCGGGGAACAGGGTCCTCTCTCGCTCACGCAGACACCCCCTGACCTGCCATCCCTCCACAAAATCCCCGCTCTCGCGTCTGATGGGCACAGGCCGAGCGATGCCGACAGGAACCCGGCTGCACTCCTTTCCCGAGCCCCCGCCCACTCCAGGGCCGACCTGCAGCTGGGCCGCGCCGTCCGGGTCCCCGATGCAGCGGCCCAGCCCCGGCTCCTGCTCCCGCGTCTCCGCACCTAGTGGTCCAGCGACCCCAGAGGCGCCACTCGGACCACTGAGTCGCAC